GAGGGAGAAAACTTGTTCATCTTGGCCTCTGGGGATAGAACAAGAAGCAATGGGCTTAAACTGCAGCAAGGGAGGTTTAGGTTGGACATTAGGAAAAAGTTCCTACCTGTCAGGGTGGTTAAACACTGGAATAAATTGCCCAGGGAGGTTGTGGAATCTCCATCTGTGGAGATATTTAAGAGCAGGTTAAATAAATGTCTATCAGGGGTGGTCTAGACAGTATTGGGACCTGCCATGAGGGCAGGGGACTGGACTCGACTCTCGAGGTCCCTTCCAGGCCTAGTGTTCTAGGATTCTATGATTCAATCTAGCTACTGATTTCACCTGTGGAACTGTAGCACCCCCTCCCTGACAGCCAGAGAGCTTAGATCTATGGCATTTCCTTTGGCTAAAACTCAGGTCTCTTCTCAAAGGCAGTTTTTCTTCACTCAGCGCACAGTCAACCTGTGGAACTCCTTGCCAGAGGATGTGGTGAAGGCCAGGGCTTTAACAGGGTTCAGAAAAGAGCTAGAAAGATTCATGGAGAATAGGTCCGTCAATGGCTCTTAGCCAGGCTGGGTGGGGATGGTGTCCCTAGGCTGTTTGTCTGGAGGTGGGTGACAGGGAAGGGATCACGTGAGGATTCCCTGTTCTGTTCTCTCCCTCTGGGGCACCTGGTATTGGCCACTTTGGGCAGACAGATCACTGGGCTGGATGGGCCGTTGGTCTGACCCAGTCTGGCCGTTCTTACGGTCTTATTAGCAGTTTTGCTACCACCTGTTGTATGCCCCTCTTGAGACACCTGGAGAACAACCTACCACTGCTTCCTGCAGTTCAGCCACACCGAGACGAGGCTGGGCCGCCCGCCCGGGGAGGCTGCAGAAAGGCCTTGCAAAGTGAGAGCGACCAGAGGTTTCTTAGCTATCAACCTCACGTGCACGAAATGCTAAATTCTTCCATCAGCCCCCCCGCCCCCGTTTTAGCTTTTCTGAGCAGCCGCACAGGGTGGCATACAGACCATGATGAGGTCTGCCCCCTGGGGGTTTCAAAGGCCACCCTGATTAGGTTATTTTTAGCTGCTGGGAGGAAAAACCCTCCCCCCAACCCGCCTGCCAAGAACAATTAGGAAAGCCTTAATCTCCTGCTTAAAGAGCACATGCAAACCCGCATCTGCTTCCAGCCCAGTGCCCCGGCAGCCACAGGCTGAAAGCTCTGTGCAGGGGGCGGGGAGGTTTCATCCCTCCCGGCAGGGAGCAGGGGACAACGCAGGACACAACATCCAGGGTGCAGCAAAATCCTAACTCTGAACAGCCGCCCACGGACCTCAGTGTCCTCCTGCCGCAAGCGGGCCCGGGTGGCGGAGCGGTAGCACCTCGCTGCCCTGTGTGCCCGTCAGCTGCCGGCTCAAGACACGGGCCCTTTTCAGGACAGGGGCCGTCTCTCGCTGCCAGCTCCC